GAGGCCGCGCGCCGCCATGCCGCGCCGCCACGTGCCCACACCCGAAAAAGCAGCCCGCGCCACCCCGTCGCGCCGGAGGAAGAACAAGCCCGCCGGCGCCCGCGCTGGTCAGCCCCCCTGGCGGCGGCGAGGGAGGAGGGAGGAGGGGAAGCTCGCGGCGGGAGGATCTGGGAGCCCTCCCCGGACGCCTCGCGGGTGGCGGCGCGGGAGGGTAGGGTTTCGCGAGAGCGGGGGGTGCGTGGATTGGAGAACTCAAGACAATCTCTTTATATGGCCCGTTTCAGATTATATGAAGTTATAGCTTTGTTCGGAGTCAAGTTTGTAGAAAAATGTGTTAATATATTTCACTAAGTTCATACAAAAATGGGCTAGTATCCACAATGTTAAATATATATCGTCAGGAAATATATTTTATGATGAATCTAAAGAAAATAATTTGGTGTTACAGATGTTGATCAAACTCAAATGATTTGAAATGGATAGGGTATATTGTTATCACCTTTCGTCCAACTTCAATTGCCGTATTGTGCGTTACAGGAGATCGACAGCAGATCTTTCTAGGGGCTGTACTTTTTCATTGAGTGAACTGCTGGTGTTTCGCGATTCATAGTCTGGTACAGTGACTAGGACAACGTCAATAGGCTTGACATTTGGCTGGTGTACGTACTGAACTGGTACATGATAGTGTCAACTAGGGGAAGTAGGCAACCATCGCCTTGCACTGATAGAGACAATTTGAAGTTAATGCTCTTATTGATTTATGTGGAAATGGATTCAAATATTTGTGGTCTATAATTTAGTCAGAGTTTGCAGTAATGGTAGGTAGGATTCATTGTTTGGTAATCTTCAGACATATACACTTTGGAGTATGAATATTTACGCACTTCGTTTCAAACTATTTGAAGTTCTAGCTATGTCGTAAGTCAAACTTCTCCATATTTGACCAAGCTTGTAGAAAAAATTACCCAGAAACTATAACATCAAATATTTATAGTGTGAAAATATATTTTTTGATGATTGTATCAAAATTAGTTTGGTGTTGTAGATGTCAATATATTTCTTCTAGGCTTGGTCAAACTTAAAGAAGTTTGAATCAGCGCCGCCAGCAACGAGAGAAGTTTGAATTATTATCACCTTGTGAGCAACTGTAATTGCCATTTTATAGTGCTGTGGTTGAAGTTTTTACAATACCAAAACAAAAGTAAGATAACATCAAGCATCTCTCGTTGGATTTGCGACCAACTTTCAGAGTCTTGATATTTTTCATCCAGTCTAGTTTTATGTTTCTCTCAAAAGCCACTATAAACTTATTTGGAAGTCTGGTCAAACAAGAAATTATATTTTTCATACATATGCATTCGTATCAATTGTGCAGAATCAGGCATGTATATTAATTGACCATCATTTCAAATTCTGTTATTCTTTAATAGATGTTTGATAGTTCTTGCACGTACTATTTAAAATGTAACTGCACTCAAACATTTGAAGTGGGTTTGCAGAAGGGTTGGCCACTGTCACCTAATTTTTTTCCAAATATATTTTCTGTTTAAAGGTTGAGCATCATTGATTTAAAGGGAACATGTTTCGGAAAAAGCAAGCTTCTCATTTCGATTCAGATGATGCTGAGCAGAGACAAGCAAAGGTATTTTTGAAAATTATCATATTCTGGTTACCTTGTGGAACTATTAGCATGCAGATTTTATGGCTCCTAGTAAATAAATTACAATGTTGACCCCCATCCTAACAAGAAAAAGAAAAGGTAAAAAAAATCGTGGTGGCTTCAACCTTAGTTGCATTTGTAATAAAATGAAAATGGTCAAACTGTAATATAGCCAAGTAGAATCCTGAAAGATCATGTCATGGTAAATCAAGAAGAAAGGGACACCATGTCAATTTATCTCCTACATACATACTATATTTATTGTGACCCAAACAGCTTATTCTCGGTCCTTGTGTTATGAGTTAATTTTGCTGTCATTACATCTTCACCTTTCATGGAATATTTGTTTCTCCATGATAACGATTCTCGGTTTTATGCACAGACAACTCCACGATTACAAAGTTATGTGGAGTTTGTGTATCTTGTTCTGCTTAAAGAAATATAAACGCATCAATCCAGCTGTATAATGTACTTCAGATACTTCCTCGCAAGGATGATCACATCTCACCCTCTGATGATAATGACCATTTGAAAAAATGTGTCTTACTAAGCATAGTCTTTTGTCAGCAATTCAGAGTTCACGTAGTCTACTAGTTCAATTTTTTTTGCACAAAATCCCACAATGTAGAATTTTAGGAGTTCGAAATGTCTGACCATGCATTCTTTCATCTAGCTGTACATACACCTGTATGTTGCAGCAGAATCACCATAATCCCCTTTTGAACCAGAGCCTGCAGAGTCATTTTCATCTTTCCACTTACTGGAAGCTCGTAAGGGGCCTACGGTGATAAAAAAAAATACTAGTTCAAGGAACTTGTGTTCATTGTTATCTGTATAGAGCATACAGGGTTTACACGTATTTATTATTCTAATCTGTTAATTCAAAGATGTCTACTATTTTCTCGTCAATTCTCTCATGTAACAATCTCCTGGGAACAGATCAAGGAACTAAGAGCTGCTCTTGGGTCTTTATCTAGCCGTGGAGAAAAATATTGCGATGAAGCATGCTTGATAAGATATCTCGACGCCCGCAACTGGAATGTTGACAAGTCTAGAAAAATGCTGAAAGAAAGTCTCAAGTGGAGGGCAACTAAGAGACCTGAGGATATTCGCTGGGTAGTTTTTCTTTTTCACTTTCCTTGTTTCTATTCATCAAGTTGCTAAACTCTCCGTTAATTGTCTTATTCCTCATTTCAGCCCGATGTTTCCGTTGAAGCAGAAACAGGTAAAATGTACAGGGCAACTTTCACAGATAGAGAGGGCAGAACTGTGGTTGTAATGAGACCCGCAAAGCAGGTAAGAAGTCAACATGTTCCTAGCTTCAGAACTGTCACCCTCTAGCTTGCTTGTCCTAGCTAGAACTCACATGTATAACATTTTTACACAATTTCAGAATACATCGTCTCACGAAGGGCAGTTGCAATATCTTGTATATACCTTGGAGAATGCAGTCCTCAGCCTGCCTGAAGGTCATGACAAAATGGTGTGGCTGATAGACTTCACAGGATGGACACTGGCCCATGCGACCCCCTTCAAGACTGCCAGAGACTGTATGAATGTCCTGCAAAACCATTACCCGGAGAGGCTTTCAATTGCGTTTCTGTTCAATCCGCCCAAAGTATTTGAGGCTTCTTTCAAGGTGTAGGCTTTTTTCGGAAGTTACCGCTTCATAAACGTAGTCTTGCATGCCTCATTTTTATCAGGAAGCACTTTCATTTATTTCTTAAGAACAGCTATTGACCGATACAAAAAGGTACCATACTTATTTTCCAACTTGAATGTTTCAAATGCTTTCAGGTTCTCAAAGTACTGGTTGACCCGAAATCAGCCCAGAAGCTGAACTTTGTGTACAAGGAGAACGAAGAGAGCATGAAGACAATGTACAACCACATTGATCCAGAAGTCCTTCCTGCGGAGTTTGGAGGGAAGAACAATGCCGTGTACAACCATGAAGATTACTCCAAGTTGATGACAAAGGATGACATCAAAACGGCAAGCTTTTGGGCAGCAGATGTTAACCATGTCATCAACGTGGACTCGGTTCCTGAGGTTAAGCCGCAGCCGTCACTAATTGTTGCTAAAGCGAGTTGAGGAGCATCGGCCAGCCATCTTATCTGTTATTGCAAAAGTTGGTTGAGGAGCTTCAGTAAGCCGTTGCCACGGTTCTCGGTACGGCTCTGAAAGAGGAATGTATAGATATGTTGAGGATGCTTGGATAAATAAATGTAACTGCAGAATATCTCGCTTGTGATGTTACAAAAATAGTTACTACTAGTCTATCCCCAAATAAGTGATCTCACAACAAAATCATATTCCCTTGGCCAAGAATTTGACGCACTGAAGAATCCAAAGCCCTTTGGCGCATGCCAGCGATGCCGGCATGTTACTCCCCAGAGCGCTTCACCGTCCACAAGCTGACACTCAACCGCAACATCAACACCAATTGCGTGATTCCACAGATCCAATCCAAGGCTTCGTTTCGGTGTTGCGTCCTCAACTCCTCCCTCGCTTTGACTATTCCCTCGCTCCCGCTCCCGCTCCAACTCTCTCGGCATCTCCCTTTTTAATAACGCCAGCCAGCGACGCCTGTGCAGGTCAGGTCTTGCCGGCATTGCGTCGGTAAATCTCGCAATCCCACGTTCTTGGTCATAGTCGCAGGCCTGGTCCGTCTCCCTGGGGCTCCTCTCCTCTCCCGGTCGATCCTGGTACGTACGGAGATTTTTCTTGATCCACTTTTCATTCCCTGTTCTTGCTGTCTTGCTGCTGGATTGACAACTGATGTGCTGGATTTCTTTCCCATTCATATTCTGATGATGCATTGAACTACTCGTGCTCGGCTTATATTCCCTGCCCTTGGTGATTGATAAAGCTTGCGCTTGTCTCTGAGACCATCCATCAAGAACACCTCATTCTCTGTTTCATGTCGCAGTAACTCTGCTAGCTAGTACGAACATCACACCATGGCGTTGCAGAGGGCGCCACGCCCCATCGGCCGTGCCTGGATCGACAGACGGAGCCACGCGCACGCGCTGGGGGCGGGGCAACCTTCTCCGCTCCTCTTCCTTTGCCGAGTCCACGGCCGGCGGCAGCGGCTGGGTGAAGAGGATCGTGCGTGACCACCAGGCCGACGGGACGGCGCGGGGAAGGTAGCTGCGCGCCTTCCACGGGACAGCGGCCTCCAGGCGGGAGACGGCGGCGGGGAGCGCCGTTGCGGGGAGAGCGAGGACGGACAGGAGTGGGGGCTCTGTGCCGCCGTCCACCTTCCCCCCAACCCCTGATCTAGATCTTCCATGGGGGGAATTTTAGAGGAAGAAGATAGAACCGACATGTGGGCCCCACATGTTGACAGATAAAATTAATGGAGTAGCACACTAGAATTCAAACTAATACCTCCGTTTCAAATCTTTTGAATTAGCTTTGTCTGAAGTCAAAGTTCTCTATATTTGACCAAGCCCATAGAAAAAATTGCTGATATCTATAACATCAAATACTTATAGTGTGGAAAAATATTGCATGATGAATCTAGCATTTGTTTGGTATTGACATCAATATATTTCTTCTAGATGTGGTCAAATTTAAATAAGTTTGATTTAGGATAAAGCTAGAACTTCGAAAAAATTCGGCACGGAGGGGGATATTATTATCACCTTGTAACCAACTGTAATTGGCATTTCATAGTACCATGGTTGAACTTTTTTACAATACCAAAACAAAGTGAGGTAACACGCATCTCTCGTTGTATTTCCAACCAACTTTCACAATATTGACATTTTCATCATGTCTAGGTTTATGTTTCTCTCAAAAGCCACTATAAACTCATTTGGAAGTCTGGTCAAACAAGAAATTATATTTTCCATACATATGCATTCATACCAGTTGTGCAGAATCTAGCATGTATATTAATTGACCATCATTTCAAATTCTTTTGTTCTTCAATAGATATTTGATAGTTCTTGAATACATATGCATTCATATAAATTGGTGTTTTCTTGGAAGTACTATCTAAAATGTAATTGCACTCTACTCAAACATTTGAAGTGGGTTTACACAAGGGTTGGCAACTGTTACCTAATTTTGCTCCAATGCCTTTTTTGTTTAAAGGTTGAGCATCATTGAGAGTTGAAGAAAACATGTTTTGGAGAAAGCAAGCTTCTCATTTTGATTTAGATGATGCTGAGCAGAGACAAGCAAAGGTATTTTTGAGAAACGATATCATACTCTGTTTCCTTGTGGAGCTATTATCATGCAAATTTCATGGCTGCTAGTTTAACAAAAAGTTTCATGGTGGTCGCATCTGCCTGTCTCGCGCTTCGTCCTTATATGCATTTGTTATCAAATGAAAATGGTCAAACTATAAACTTAATTTAACCAAATAGTAGATTGAAAGATGTGAAATAAGGGTCACTATTTCACTTTCTCTCACACATACATTTATTGGGACGCAAACAGGTTATTCTCATCTCTTTGCTATAATTGATGTTCACCTGTCATGGAATATTTTCTTTCTCCATGATAACAACTCTCGGTTTTATGCATGCACAACTCCACAGTTAGGGCATCTCCAACGCCGTCCCCCAAATCAGACTCACTATCCATCCGCAGACGCATCCAGACTCATTTGTAGACACGGATACGGGAGCCGACCATCCAACCTTGTCCATCAAACATCCACCCATGTTTTTATCTAAAGTCTGCAACATTCAAACTAACTATAGATGAGCACAATTCTTTGAGTATTGAATATATTCAATTGCAACACAAGTTCAAATTTAAATATTAAAATCCAAAAGTTAAGTTTTCAAAAAAAAGTCAAACTTGAATTCAACTTATGTTCTAGTTGTCCCCGTTAAACGCTCATAGATACTCAATCAGATCATTCTTAAGATGCACATGAGTTCCTCGATGCCAAATATGTTGATGCATTTGGACGGAGGAGCTTCTCCTTCAGTCAACCTAGCAAACAATGAAGACCGCTGCAGCATGTTGATGTCATTGTGACCCAGGCATGCCAAAGAAAGTGTGCCAAGTCCAGAGGTCTTGTGATGCAACAACTTCAAGAATGATGGTGGGCTTCTTGACATAACTGTGATATTGCCCTTGTACAACATATGGGCAGTTATTCCATCTCCAGTGCATTCAATCAAGAGATCCGAGTATACCTGGCCACTCTCTTGCTACTGAGAGTGCCATGACCTTTCAGTGTTTGCGACAGTTCGTTCTTTCAAGTACTGCAGTCCAACACCTTGACCAGTGCAGTAGAAAACCTAACCATAGCAACTACACATGTGCTTTCAGATATCCGGAGGTACTTGTCCCACGAATCTGTGGTTGTGCCATAGTCCAGCATCCTCAATGCAGCCATACACTATAGGTAACCAGAGAATCCAATTTTTCCGGTGACATCCTTCTTCAAGTTGAAGTAGTCATCATAGGCCCAGACACCATTGTAGAGGCAATCAAAAACATTTTTTCGCATCCCAAAGTGCAGACAAAAATTGTCCACAAATAGAGCATCAGGGGCAAAGTAGTCGTCCATCAGCGTCAAATGCCCTCATGACCTCTTCAGATTCAACACTCGATGTCCCTTGATTGATCCGTTGAAATTCAAAACATGCTCCGCACTCTCCACATCCACTTGGGCCACCTACATCATCGCATTTTCAGCATCATATTCACCCTCATCTGACGAGGACGGCTCCATGAAGTTGTTGTAGAAGTACTTGTTTTCCGAATCCATCGTGGTTGCTTCAAAGTATCAAAGTAAAACAATTGTCAATAATTTGGCTATGTCATTTGGACAAACACTTGTCTGGCATGGTGTCCAGTGTGAACGACAGGTGCAGGAGCGGAGGGTACCTGGGCGGCAGATGAACGAGGGGGAGGGGGG